ACACAGTGTGTGTGTGAGTGTGTGTGTGTGTGTGTGGAGAGGCCTGTGTGGGCTGACTTGTTAAGATACGTCTGTTGGCAGTGTACAATAAACATGTGCAAATTTGCCAGAGCGTAAAAAAAACCAAACATTTAAACATCGGATAAGACGGTTGAAACTGAAGTCGATTTTAAATTAAAAAATCCAATTTATTAGAAAGTAAAATGAAATAAACTCATATTTATTTTACATCCGATCTGTGTGTTAGACATTTGTAACATTCATTGATCAGATTTGTTTTTTAATGCAGGGGTGTATCTCTAATGCAGGGGTGTCAAATATACGGTCCATGGGCCAAAACCGGCCCGCTTGATGACTTTTGAAAGTAAAAAAACGCACAAACTCTTCATGTTTGTGATGTTTTGTCAAATTATATTTCATTAAATATGAATATTTTCTAATGTTCTTGTACTTTTTTGCAGGAAAACAAAGGGGGGAAACGTATTGGTATTTATAGGTAAATATGTTACAAAAACAGAGAACGAGTAAAATAACAGTATACAAACCTGTGTACTTTTTAATTCTGATTAATTTAATGATTTAATGTTAAATGCAAAACAACAGGATTATTCTACTTGTAGGGAGTTCCTGCTCCGTCTCTGCGTCTGTAAAAACAGTGTCCACAGTTGTTTTAAGGCGAGACAGACTTCACACACCTGCTGCGTCAGTTGGTTTACTCACTTCCTGTTTCTCTTCACTCTCTTGTTTTGCCCGATTTTTTGACAAACAGTCACCAGCACGTCTTTAATGTCCACTCCCTGGACCTGAACCCATAAATAACTTCATGTGACTCACTCAGCAGTCGCCTGGAGATCACCTGACCTTGTTAGTTCCTGTTGGACCACAACCTACATGTGAAGTCCATCTTAAAGCCGCGTTGAGCCACCGGTCTGAATTTAAGATGGCTCTTGGATCAGTGTGTCGGCGACACGTGGTACCACCTTAAGTGAATTTAATAAAAAAGGAAGACTCTTCCAGATGAACTCATGGAAGGAGGAATGATTCATTAGATTCATCATCAGAACAACAAACACCGGCTTCTCGGGCCGCGGCGTGTGAAGAACTGATGTGTAAGACGTTCTGCTGCGCTCTACTTTTTATTTCATCTTCCGTGTGACAGAAATGCTTCTGGACGTCATTACATTTCCTCACGCCTGATAATGAGTTCTCGGCTCGGCACAGCCGGCTGTGGCGTGTGAGTCACGGTGCAGCAGAGACGGAACATCACTGGTTCTACAACCGTACGTGAAGCAGAAAGATGAATTGAGGATAAAAAAAAAATGCCATGATTCAGATATCTTTTTTTAAAATTTCAATTAATTTATTAAGATATTTTTGTCCGATATTATTGTCCAAACGCTTAATTTCCGATATCAACCGTTACCGAAATATATGCAGCCATTTGCCTCCAAAACTAATCCGATTATAAGAGATTACAGTGTATTTGATGAAACCCAGACATCGCGTTATCGGGTTTTCATTATCGGAGCAAAAAACGATAACAGTTCTTATCGATATTACATATTTATGCTAATGTAGCACCGATAATATCAGGCAACTGATATTATTGGACATCCCTAATTATAATAATAATAATAAGATGAAGATGCAAATGTTGCAATTACAAATCCCATCAATAGGTGGTGTGCTGTGTACAGTATGACGTGAGAGTACCTGTAATTAGTGAGTGTGTAATTACAAGTACTTTGATTCTGAGACGTTCAAATGTTAATTACAAGTACTTTGTACTTTGATTCTGAGACGTTCAAATGTCTTCTGTTAAATCTACTTCTTCGTGAAGTCAGAAGAAGACGCTGACTCTGAGCTTCGTCGAAAATCCGTCTTATTCCGCGGGGTCTCTCTGAATGTGGTCTCTGAGCTGTTTGTTCATGTCAGGGGTTACGGTACCACCCACTGAGCCACCGTACGTTACGGGGTCAGACCAATAAACCCGACTTGACCTGACGGCACGTTCGCCGTCACAGTCTGACTAAATAATCCCCACAGACGTGGAGAAAGGCTGGAAATCGATGCATAATCAAGCCCACAGGTGGCGACGGTGCTGCAGTAACTGTTACCTGGTGTGTTGTCTCTGATCTTATCGCTGCTGCCGCCCAGTAAATTTACTTCATGAAGCTCGTATCGTATTGTACCAGATTCCTGCCAGTTACACCACAGTACAGTAATACTTGTTCTCTACCCGTGAATGCAGTACTAATGAGTATCCAGTACTGTGTTTGAATACATTCTGAATCCTCTGAGCAGCCACAGCTTATCTGGCATCTGATTCAAAGACAGAGTCTGTGGTCGGGGTCCGACTCGGGGTCCGTTCACTCCCCCTAGTGTTTGGTCTCGTTCACACGTTGGAAACCCACCAGTGTCGGTGACACAGAGGCAGACGAGCAGCTGCTCTGCAGCAGAGGTTAGGACTAATTAGAGAGTCAGATCTGCTGATTACAGTCGCTCTGTTTTCCCTCCATTTCTTCACTGATGAGGTTTTTGGTTTTTGTTTTTTTTTTAGGAAAAGAAAAGTTCATCTAATAATTCTGACCTTTGACGTGTAAAAACCTGATCTAACATCCAGACACCCACAGGTTTGACCTTTGAAACACATTTCAGTCATGAATGAATCATCTGAAATCACGATGAGGCTGGAGGGGGAAAAAAAGACATTTTTAGATCAGTTTTAGAACTTTAACCATTCACACCAAAGCAGGTGTGAATGTGAGTGTGAACAGCAGTTTGTCTCTGCGTCCCCCGTGTGGACAGGAGAGGTGTTCACTGTACTTTTTTATGATTCTGATTAATTATATGGATTATAATTAATCGTGATTTTTGTTCTGGAACAGATAAATAACCACAGTTTGTGTAAATAACGGTGTGTGTGTGTGTGTGTTGAACGGAGTGAAGAATTATTGGATGTACAGTGTGTGTGTCATTCTGGTCATTTTTATTTATTCATTTTTCAACATAATTAACAGCATTAATGAGTTAATTCTGACGACCCTGTTTAATTTTTATTACCATTAACATTCGATTAAACAACAACATATTTTGACATCATTTTGTTAGGATTATATGATATTACATGTTCAGCATTGTCCTTATATATATATATATATATATTATGATAATCACTAACAGAATGAAGAAAATCATATTTTTTTAAAAACACAGTTAGTTGAAAAACAGTGTTTAAAAGTGGATGTTTTTTTTGCCTCCTGTTTCCATGACAACAAATATTTCTTGATTCTCCCAAGTGCTTCCTGTAGCATCTTTTTTTTTTTTTTCAGGCCACGTGGGGATTCTATAGAAGCGTAACAGGCTTCACTGCACTGGGGAAAAAATAAATAACCAAAAGTGGACTCTAACATGTGACACCAGGGGAAGAGAGTGTTTTCCAATATGTGGCTGCACTCAGAATCAGAATGTTCAGCTAACACAGAGCCACTCAGTGCTGCCACCTACACCTGTAGAGGCTCTGCACCCGGCTCCACTCACAGCTTTAATCTTTAACAGTCAAGTACAGGGAGGTTTACACTGTTTTTAACAGTTATTTTTCGATAAAAGATAAAAATGTTTATGAAGTGAAAAAAAAAAAATAACACCATGTCAGCAGAATATGAAGACGGTCGGTAACGTTCTCTGGAAAGATCTGCTCATCAGTCATTTGAACAGAACCTGCTGTTCTACTGAGTCGACTTCTAAAATCAGTGATGTTTTTTTCATATGACTGAGTTTTTTTTTTACATAATGAAGGATGTCATTGTTTTAATGAAGAGGGTCCAGCTTTGAATTATCTTCGTTATCTGAGAGTAGAAAGACGACGGCCTCCACACACACACACACACACAGACACACACAGATGAGTGAGAACAGCTGTGATTGTTCTTACACTCTGTGAAGTGAGCTCTGCGTGTCTGATGAATGAGCGGGGAGGAGCGCCAGCAGGGGCAGCGTCTACACTGCTGTCATTACCTCTTATTACAGCTTCACCTCCAACGCTGTCACTCACACACACACAAATTGTTTTCCTCCACCTCTGCTGCCTGTGTGTGCTCATCTGACAGCTTAACAACCACCCAGTAATTGCACCAGGAGTGTAATTAAACATTAGCCCTGGGTAAACGTACCAGTGTAATCTCTTACCCCTGTTAGAACTGATCACATCACGCTGTCGTCCACCGACGTCCGGGCGGAACAGTCGCGGCCGTCGTTATAATGCTGTAGTTAATCCTGTGCTTCTGTCTACATCGTTAGCTTAGCGTGCGTGTCGCTACAGCACAATCCACTGAATTTAAACCCTACCTAATTAGGCCACACATCACAGACGAAAGTCAACAAAGACGTGCGTTTGTGTAAATGTAAACATGTCAGTGGTCAGATGTTCGGTGTAATCAGCTTAACTCTGATTGGTTGGTGCTGGTAACAGTGGACCCAGGTGAACGTGTTAAATACTTCTCTGTTCTCTTTAGTTTACTCCCCTGCAGCTGCGCTGTGTTCCACTTTCTTAAATTGATTTTTTCAACCAGAACCTTGTCTTTAATACCTGCGGCCAAACTTTCCTTCTATGCCCTGTGATAGACCCGGTAGTACCCAGTAGGTGGCAGTAATGCGTCTAACAACATTCAGATCTGTATTAAGAAAATGTCAAAGAAGAAGTCGAGGTTAGGCGAAAACAAAAAGTTATGTACCGATGTGTCGCTAACATGCTGCTAACAGGCTAACTGCTTGGACTTCGCTAACATGCCCTTTTTTTATATATCACGTGCTAGCACTGTGCTTTAACGCAGGTGTTTTTTTTTCACTTTGCTACCAAGGCACTTTTGTCTTACACATTAGCACACTGCTAACATGCTGCTAAAGACGTTTTCAAGTTAGACATGGCTAACACGGTCGCTGACGCTAACTCATCTCTCCTCTCCTATTGGTTGATTCTCATCTTCTCTGTTCCTCAGCAGTTTCTCAGTGTGAGTTTTCCCTGGAGTGTGGCGCCCACTACGAATATGCCATCGAAGAGTTCTGTCTCGCCAAATTCAAGTTGGACATGCAGGAGCTGGACCAGAGACAGTGGTGTAGCTGGGAGGACACAGTAGAGTGAGTGGGACACACACACACACACACGGCCTTCGTTAACGACACCCTGCCTCCCTTTCTGTTGACCAATTGTGTGCGCCGTAAATTGGGCTGCCATGACTTCCCAAAAAATTAAGGGAAAAAGCCATGATTGATGGTGGGGGGGCAGAGGGGAGGTGGATCTGGTGAGATGGGGCAGATGATGGATGGATAAAAATATGATCCAGTTTGAGTGTTTTTTTTTCCTTCTGGGAAAAAAGTGACCCACCCTCCATTTCTGATTTTTTTTTTCCGTCATTGGCTAACGTTCCTCCCAGATTTATTAGCTTCAGTTACTGTAAATAGGAGAATCCCACAGCCTCCGGGTTCCTGCGTCTGTGTCCACTCCACTCCACTGCACCCCCCACAGGAATCTGTCATTTGTCTGAGGAGCCAAAGTCTGGATGTGGGTAATGCAGCCCAGATCCTCGGCCCATACTTGGCCTGTGACGGTTAATAAAGAGTTCAGTTATCGCTCTCCAGAGAATGAGAAAATAAGACCAGGAGTCTCTGCTCCTTCTCCAAGTTCAGACTTTTTATTTTCCCAGTAATCAGGTGTTAATGGATGACTCCTGAACAATTAATGTACTTAATAATTAATATGAGTACATGTTCAAACAGTCAGTGAAAAACCTGTTTAAAGACTGAAATCCAAAATGTTCTTCCAAGAAAAAACGCTTCGATCATTTTGACTTTTTTCTTCAGTTTAATATTTGATGTTGCCTGATTTTAGATCCTCATGTTTGCAGATTTAAAAACATGATCTAATGATATAATATTTAAATAATTACGGTGCCAGAGTTTTTGACAGGAGATACAAATTCAGCAGGCAGATAAACGAAATAAAACACATTAAAATACATGAATAACACGATGAACTGAATTTCCCCAGAGTGGGAATTAATAAATAACAATTTTTTAATTTTTTTTTGCAAGTGGTGAAACGTTGGTTCACGTTTTAGCCCGAGAGCAAGAACATCAGTGATGAGGGACACGAACATTTTAGTTTGTTTGTTGAACATTTCTTCGTCTATAAGAAGGTTTTTATTGCCCAAAAATCAGAGAATCATACTGAGACAAAATTGAACAACGTCAGCTGTGACGTCAGCGGTCGAAGAGGAAACTGTTGAATAAACATCGTCGATTCTGGAGTTTATCGTTGAGTTAAAGGAAGAGTTTTTAATATATTATCACAAAGTATTTAATATTTCTAGAAAGATAACCTCTGGATTTGTTTCTGATTTTATTACCGATAAATCACATTCTTAGATCTGCAGGAGAATTTAAAATCTATTGTTTCCCTTCAGAGGAGTGAACTTTAAATCTGAGCCTTAAATCTCTCCTCCTTCTTCTTCTTCTTCTTCTTCTTCTTCTTCTTCCTTTATCTCTGCCACGGGACTAAATGAGGGTTTAGTTGTGGAGGTTCATATTTCAATTCACTCGACTGTTGAGCAACTTAAAGCTCCGTCTCAGGAGGATTTTTCTATTTCTTTTTTTTTTCACCTTATCAGTCAAGTCTGTGAGATAATGAAATGCTCTTTCACTTCTTAATAAAGTACAGCAGCTGCAACATGGGAGTCACTGCACTCTGTATTCTGAGTCGGCAGTACTTTAAGTACTTGGTGTCTCGAGGGACTGCGGGAGTGAAACACTGTAGCTGTAGCTGCACTTAGTTGCCCTAAAGCCCCTTCTCTCACTGTTGCTCCATGAAAAAGAGTTTTATTTTTAAATACTCCTTGTTGAAGGTGTTTTTAAATCAAATGAGTCAACCTTTGTTTTGGCCCCGTTTATGTTTATTTATATCAAAAAAAAAAAGTCAAGAAAACAAAATCAGTGCACAGTGCACAGACGAGTAAACAGAAGTTTGACGTCGGTCAAATCTGTGTCCAGCTGTAGGACAGTTTTCAGCCCCTGGAGAAACTACTGCGGGGGTGTTAAGTTCAGTTAAAGTGTTTTTGGTACGTGTGTGTTGTCATGTACTGTTCGCACAACTGAACGGGGCTGAAAATCCTGGAAACTAAACATGAGAAGCTAACGTCATGGCGACATGCGACACTTCTTTTTTTTTTTAAATATTTCCTTCTTGATGTTTCCTAAACTTGGTAAACACCTTCTAGAAGCTCCAGCAGGAGGAGCTGTGACAGCAACCGTGTCTAGGATCAGTAAAGTCGGTCTCTGTGGCGACCCTCAGTCCAGGCTCCAACATGTTCACCTGGATCTGATCATTTTAGATGCAGATGTAGAAACCACTTCATCCACGTGTCAGTACACGTGGGCTCCATACTAAGTCCTGTTTAGGTGCCCCCTCCCCCCCCACGCTCCCCCACCTCAGCTCCTTCAGTCAATATCACATGTAGCGTCAGGCTTGTCCAATTATGGAGGCTGTGGAAGGCAGCGTGTCACCAACGTACGACTGTGAAGGTGGTCGATCGAAAAAATCTTCTCTCGTGGGATTCAGCTGAAAGGTGACGCCGCGGCATTAACATTTCACCAATTAACGAGACGGAAATCAAGTCCAGTGTCACGTTAATGATGTCGACAAGAAAAAAACAAAACAGTTTATTTATTCTTGGGAGAAATGCTAATTTATCAAGTTACAATAAAAAACATTTCTTCATTGATTTAATAATTGACACCATCATAATACCAATGCCATGTGGGGCGTGGTGTAGAGAGGGTTAGTCTGAAGCCCAGGGTCTGGGTCTACAGAGAGGTCGCACCAACCAGTTGATATAAAACAGAGTTTGAGAATCGTGAGGCAGAGGAACAACGACACAGTGATTCTCTCAAATCAAAATGACTTTCTAGTACGAGTGTCCGATATTGACTTTCTTCATTTCCGATACCGATATCAATCGATATATGCAGCCAATTGCAGCACACTACTACACACAACGTCACAACGGCAGTAATTCACTTTAACTTTGAAACTATTTTTTGGTCACATCATCATCCGAGCAAATTGGGCATTAGCTTCAGCTTCCCACAAGCTCAGAAATGGACCTTGAGGTCGAGGGCGTCGAATGAATGAATGAACGAATGAATGACTGACTGTAACTGGATCTTTCCAGGTTTTGTGTTTCGATGTTTGTCACTCACGCTGCAGACACAGGTTTAATTCTAAGCCAATGTCAAAGGCAGATCCAATTTGTTTGTGTGAAATGGAAAAAGAAATCCAACGACAAACTCAGTCCGACTCTAATCTAACGTCTCCATCTCTACGGCAACATTCAATCAAACATCAAACACGGTCAATTAGAAATCCTAATTAGATGTTTTAGATTTGGGTCAGAGTGTTGTTGGTAAATGAAGAGAAGCGAGGAACGTTCTTCATCCTCTATTGACACGTAAAGTGTTAACGGCGTTACACCGACAGCTTCCTACAAGAAGGAAAATGTTGTTGTTCGCCCACACGGATCTGCCAGAGTTCAGCAGAAGACGTGGCCGCGGTCCAGACTCTGAATCATCTCTGAGCTGACGATGAAGGTCTGTGTTATAATTCATTAACAAATCGGTCTAGAACAAAACACGTTCCATTGAATCCCAGTTGAAATCATCGGTTTCTGGAACTTTAAGGCACTTTTTTTCTTCAACTTCTGGTTTTCAATCTCTTGATTTCACTGCGTACGAAGTCAAGAATCAGAATCCGACGGTACTTTAACTCAGCCAAACTGGGGGCACCGAGTTAGATCCCCCTCCGTCAAGTGGATAGTGGTTTGTACTTATTGGTGTTCATCGTTCGTCTCATGTTTAGCAGCGGTTAGCTGCATCAATCACGTCATTTCTGCAAATCTGTCTAAAGGGATGGGGCGACCCAGCTGCGGAAGCTACTGTGGTTTACGATCAGTCGTCGTCCTGTCAAGATTGACAGAGAACCTCAGGTTCTCTACTTCTTCTTCTTCGTCTCCACAGTGGAGCCTCTTTACCTTCAGACTTTCTACATTTGTTTAAGATACAAAAAAAGACAGTAAATGCCCCCCCCCAGCCTAAAACTCAGATTACAACATTCCCATCTAATCCAAAGGTAAATATTTTCTTCTCCCAGATGAAGTCTGATCCAGTCCGGTTTCTCCCGATCTCTGTTTTCCCTTCTGAACTCGGTGGAGTTAAAAATAGCCGTCCTCTGATTTTTACAGGACCCGTCTCCTTGTGTACACATCGGAGGGTCTTTGGCCGTCAGTCATGCATGCCCGTCAACCATCTGTAATAATTTTAAAACCCCCTTGGAGGGTGAGCCCCCGGTGGGCTCTGAGCAAACTGCGGCCAGACAAATCCAGTCAGCTCAGTTGTGTGGAAAGCGAAGCGAAGTTCCCGCTCCGCCCCCTGGTGATTAAACGGCTGATTAGTCGGTGATTAAAGTCGGATTCTTCTGTGGTTTTTACAGCTTTCGTGCCTGGAGAACATCCAGCGCTGCCTGGTTGAATATCAGCAGAGGTTGTTTTGAATAATTACATAATTACGCTGGCTTTTCATTTGTAGCTGAGGGCGAGTCACGACAGAGCAGAACCAAATCTGAAGTCTGTTCGAAAAAAAAAAAATGAAATCAGGTTCCCAAAGTTGGGGGCAGGTCCCTCAAAAAGGCAGCTAATTCTGGGGGACAAGGATTGTAGTAAAGGAAACTCATTTGTCTTTCAGTTTGATTTCTTCTTTGTTTGTGCCACAGTAGGGTAATTGCAGTGTTTTTCTATTTTCTTTTTAACCTGGATATTTTCCGGCAACAATGTTGCGTTTCGTCTGTGCTCAGCGGGGATGGAGACGTGGGAGGGGGGCGCGATGGTTTTCACTCTTTGATTCCGCAGGGAGGAACCTCAGGGCAACACAGAGATAATGAGGGAAAAAATGGTCAAAACCCAGGGCCCACATGGGAAGTCTAGTCCTGATGTGACACATGATCAGATGTTGATCTGTGAAGAACATAAAACAACCTTTGGTTGGTGCTGTAGTTCTCTGATAGAACTCAGCGCTGGTTTCCTTTTAATCAGACGTTTCCTCAGCCGTAGGTAGAACCAGTATAACGACCAATCATATCACTGCTGATCAAAACCGTTTCAGCCCAAAGAATGTGTTTGGTTTGAACCGCAGTGTGATTCTCCTCCTGCCTTGTTACCCAGCAGCCCCCGCAACTTCCTCCAGGCTGATGTGCGTTTGCCAAAAAAAGGAAGAAGATATCGACATTTAGATGCTGGCTGAAAGGAGTCTGAAAGCCCCCCCTGCAACCGCCACCCCACAGGTCGGCAGGTTCCTGACATGTATTCATTTACTCTGGTAGATGTTGTTGTGAGAACCGGGAGTGAACCGTGGGACCCGGCTGTGATTGGACAGTTCAAGGACCACGGATCTGTCTTTCCTTTTCTTTCTTTTCAAAGCTGCGACAAAGTTGAACTCCGTCTTTGAAAAGGTAGAATAACTGAGAGAGTAGCTGTTACTCAGGGCTGTTACTCAGGGGTGTTACCTGGAGTTACTACATTTCTACTGCTAGCATTTGTTGATGATGAACCGTTGGTTCTTTGTTCCTTTAATGTTTGTTGTCGGTGATGAAAACCAAATCTCCAAACGCACATATTTACTTCTTTCTTTAAGTATTTTTCCTACACGATCAAAAAATGTTTAATTTACAACAGAGGAGAACAAAATTGTTTCATGTTTTAGAACACCGACTTTTCAAACGTGCCGTCTGCAGCCTCCGTCTCCCACGTTTAGAAAAACTAACACAGAAAACGCAAAAACGCTCTTCAGCGTTCAGAGCTGGAACTCGTTCAGACACGGTTTCTGTTCCTGTGGGAAACCAGACGAAGAGTACGACAAAAACAGTAAAGTTTACTAAAGTTTGGTAAATTTAATTGGCTGCAGTCGTTGACAGAAGGAAATGCAGTTCGTAAAGATGAAATTCCGAAATGTGGCCAAGAAAAAAATTTAAATAAATGACAGGAAGTAAAGAAAAAGAAAGAAAGGTTAAAGTTTCCACCTTGAAGACGTTCAGTCTCGCGGAGGAACTTTATCACACATCAAAACAGTGATGTCACCTCCTGAAGCTACTTCGCGGCTGCAGCGCTGGAGCCACGCCAGGCTCCTCCAGCTGTTTACGTCTCCTAAATCCCCGCCACCACACACACACACACACACACACACGGAGCGGAGCTGCAGCATCAAAGGCTGTCAGAACTTTGAACATTTTTAAAACGTGAGCAGTGAAGTCAGAGAAGAGAAAACGCCGCAGACGCTCTTGAGCAGAGATAAATGTGAGGATCAGGAATTCAACCTTCAACGACTTCAACGGTCTTCACGTGTGGCTCAGGTGTTGGAAATGTATAATATCTGTGGAAATAGATTTGAGGAGAACTAGACCAGAGAACGCAAACTGAAGCTAACGTTAATGAACGCAGATCAACGAGAGCTCACGGTTCAAATGAATGTGTGTGTGTGCTAGGAAAACCGGCAAATCGTCGACGTGTCATGGTGAGTAGAAGTTGGAAGTTGGAAAATCCAAAGCGTTTGTTCCACGTGTACCACTACTCTGTACCTTACGCTGGTATTTTATCATCGACTTCCAATGATTATAATCACTTCATAAAATTGGCGGTACCGTTATGGCATCTCCGTTAGTCCGACCTGGAGGACGAAGATGTCACGTCGCCTAGAGTAAAAAAAGTTTAAACTTTAGATACGAGTCTCTCACTGGGAGCTGACGGAACCATCGATGATGTGACGTCAACGTTAGCTAAAGCGACGGAAGTAATGTATGGAGCGTTACATGCTCACTGTTGGACGTGTGCGTCTGTAGGTCGTCCTCTAAATTACTAGTTGTCTGGACGTGGACTTAATCGTCAGACGTGAACTCCTTTATCCAGTTTGACATCCGTTCAGTGTCTGTCGTCCTTTATTGTTTCTCGTCTTCTTCTTCTGTCCACACCCTGTAGGCTCTACGGAGACCTGACAAACTGCACCTACCTGGTGGCCCTGAAGATGGACTGCTTCTGGCCCAACAGGCTGGTGGACGAGTTTTTCATCCAAGTCCACAAGCACTACTTCCACGACTGCTCGCTCTCTGGACGACTCCTCAGGGATCCGCCCAACCGCATCCTAGGACCCTTCATCGTTGTGCCGGTCCTGGTCACTCTTCTCATGACAGCCCTGGTGGTGTGGAGGAGCAAGCGCAGCGAGGGGATAATGTAGTGGCAGAAGAATGGGACGGGTGGGGGTGAAAGTGGGGGAGAGGGTTCAGACGATTCGAGTGACTTGGGTCGTGAATCATCTTCTTTTTTTTCTTTTTTTTTTCATTTTTGATTTGGACACAGCTGCTTGACGACAGCTTCAGGGGACGTTGGACAGGACGCTTCTCCACGACTTCAGTCAAACTATTGAATCTGACGCCTCGTCACTCGAGTCTTACTTTTATTCAAGACTTTAACCAAGTGCCGACCACGGCGGTAACTGTTTAACAGGACGATGAAAATATTCAACATTCTTCACACGGACGAAGTGCTGTAAGAGGATCTACACTAAGACATAATGCTGGGGGTCGGGGGGTGGGCTGTAAGAGGATCTACACTAGGACATAATGCTGGGGGTCGGGGGGTGGGAGTGGGTGTTTCTGTATGAGGTTTCTGTCACTGTTTATGGTCCAAAAAACTTGCAGGATTAGGGTCATTGTCACTCCTAGGGTACACTCACACTCGGGCCGTTTTACTGCGCCCAAGTGCGATTGCCCCCTAAAGTTCTAGGGCTAGTGTGAGGCATGAAGAAGTTGCCCCCGCTACGGCGCGGTTGGAAGCGGTGGGCCAAACACGGGGAACAAGGATCCAAACTTGCACACTTGTGCTGTTGAGTAAATCTCCAGCTTCCGCCGCAAAAATCTGTGAATCGCGCGGTCAGTAAACCTATACACTGTCGAGGGCTGATCGTTCACAACGCAGACGTTGTCAGATTCGCTTACGATCGCGCACAGACAACTGTCACTGACAAATGTGTGGAAGGGCAACTGGGCTTTACCTCGCTTACCTTTGGGGTAATGTGAGTGCGAGAGTGAGAAACTGGCCCTAGTCTGAGTGCGAAGGTAAGTGTGAATGTGATTGGCTGTGATTGGCTACAGCTCCTCCTACCACCCTGACAAGTATTACACAGTAGTAGGTGAAAGTATATGTGAAGATACTTTGATTTCTCGTTAGGTGAACATACTGTATTTATACACAGGAAGTACAACATGAGATTATTCCTCCAATGCACTCTGGGAATGTCTTTGTAACTCTGCTGTCAAATAACTCTCTTCAGTTCATTTCAAGTGTTTTGTGAATCTGAACAAAATGATTTTATTCTTCTATTCACTGACGGTTGGACTGACTCTCCGTCTGGCTGCGACAGGAACTGCAATTCCTCCTCCCTCCCTGTAACTCATCTCTCTCCTGGCTCCTGGATTCCAGGTTGTAATCCTGACCGAACGACACGTCGGAGATTGCAGTCTCGTTCAGGCGCCTGATGATTGACAGGAGGACACGGACACTCAGAGATGGTCAATGAGCCGCGGTCAGAGGCTCCAGCTGATGCTGTTGTCTCCTGCTTCATCCATCACCACGGAAACAGAAATGTAGACGTGGCTGCAATATTGAGAACAGACGGCGCTAATGTTGCTGGTCTTTTGTGACTCATTAAACACAAAGAACAGGAGGTAAATGTGATATTCATTTTTATGGTGTGAGATCATTTTTTTAGAAAGATGGTGCCCCCTAGTGGCAGCCTGTTACAGCATCTCCTGCTAACGTTTTGAGAAGATATCGAGCGAGCTGCTTAAGGCTAGCCCTGATCATGAAAGAGCGGGTTCTTGTCTTCACTTTTTGTTTTGGTCCAACTTTTTGTCTAAAAAGTTAGCCACGCTGCCACGTTAGAGAAAAAAAAAACATTAAAAATGTTGGTGATTTAGTGACTTAAACATAGGAAAGGTAAAAGATGATTCCGGAAACTCGGGAAAGAAATCCGGAAATCCTCTTTCCTATTTTTTTTAAATGATTTTCTCATTAAATTCTCCTTAAACTCAGTGAAACTCCTCGACTGTTGCACAGATGAAAACATCCCTAATCCTAATCTTAATTTTAATCTGAACTAAGAACAAACAGCAGAACAGCCACTTCTGTTTTCATCGCTGTATCTGATCGGCCGACGCTCGTGGCCGTTGAGAGTCGTCGTATCTACAGACCTGAGGCTCGGTATCGAGTCACAGATTCTCTCTGTGGCGACGTGTTCTGTTCTGATTCTATTATGCTGTGACCTGCCCCACAGCAGAACTCACTTAAAAACACACCCACTCTCCGACAACACGACCAACAACATCTGGGCTTCGAGCCAACATACGGTGAAACGTCTTTGTTTCCTGTTTTTTCCTCCAGAGTTCCGTTGCTGCACACGACTTCGTTTGAAAAGATACGATGATGAAATGATGACAAAAAAAAAAACTTCAATTATGTTTCTGACCCTGACAGGATTATTTCTGCACGTCGATAGATGAAATGGAACGAAGAGAATGTAGATGAACTGTGTCGAAGGTGAGTGATTATTAATGTATAAATGTGTGTGTGTGTGTGTGTGTGTGACCGTGACGCAAACTCTGTTCACTTGGTTCAATCTGATGTCATTTGTAGGTTCAGTTCTTCACAGGTCGTGAGTTCCTGCTGCTGTCCTCCACCTACATGATACTACGATATACATGTATAATAACGATAAGTATCCATGCTGTACCTCCTGTAGTACTTATTCTCGTTCTCGTGAGTATTAAGTACACAGCTCCTGTTTCAACGTCACCTCAAACAGGTGCAAGTTGAGACGTGAACCTGAACCTGATCGGAAATCAGACGTTTCTCCGGTCATGTATCATTAAAGACTCGTTCGAGGGTTAAGTTTAGGGTTAGGGTTCCAGTCTCGGTGAAGTGTCGAGTCATTTGAGAGACGTTTGGTTGAAGTTGAGTTTAAGGAACAGTTTTCATTAATATCCACAACAAAACGTTGCATTTGTTTCAGGGCGTCAGTTTTCATTTCCTTACGTTTGACAAACAGACTCTGACTTTAAACTACTTTTATCGCATTTAATGAAACTAGCCAATCATAACGATGAAACACCGGCGCAGTAATGACGACAGTTTAAAACTGACTTTAAACTACTTTTATCACATTTAATGAAACTAGCCAATCAAAACGACGAAACACCGGCGCAGTAATGACGACAGTTTCAGCTTCAGATCTGAGTTCATGGTAAAACAAACATTTTCACTTTGACCTGATATCACAGATAAAAACACCAACCAGTGACTGCAGCTGTGGATTTCCCACAGGATCTGGGAAGAGTGAAGGACGAGCGAGGATTCCAAATCCCTGCAGGACGTCTAAGGAATGGTCACGCTCCTCTGTGGATATGGAAACGGAATAAATGATTCCTGAGGAAAAACTCATTTATTAATGATCTAGAGGAAGTCGTCCAGTGTGTTTTTACTTTTTCTGCAGGTTAAAATGAAGCAAATTTAGAAAAGAAAAAGAAAAAGTCCATACCAGACGAACGCACTCATTAAATACATTAAATATTCTACTACGCTGGTTAAAATGATGCAAATTTAGAAAAGAAAAAGTCCACACCAGACGAACGCGCTCATTAAATACATTAAATATTCTGCTATTTAAGAGCTAACTTCTCAGGTCTGTTTGCCCTTCCTGCCCCTCTGTCTGTCTCTCCCAGGGTAATTAGCTTCACCACACTCAGCTGTGCTGCTCTGTTGACGAGCCTCACTGGTCTCACCTGGTGCCCACGGTATTTAAACCCCTGTCCCTCCGTCTGTTCTTGTTGGTCGTTGCTCTGAACGCATCTCTTTGTTTCTCTGTACCTGAAAGTTTACTTTGTGAATTTTACCTGCTCTGGGGGGGTCGGGGGGGTTCTGTTTGTTTGTTTCCTGGTTCAGAAACCTCAGACTGACCACCAAACTTTTTCTTTTTTTTTTTACTTTGAGCTAGAAAGGTTTAAAAAAGTAGTAAGGAAGTGCAGTAAAGTTTTTGTTTCGATCAATGAGCATTTTATGTGGTGATACATTTTTTATTTTTTTTTACATTTTGAAAAATCAAAATAATTATTCAAAATCTGATTTAGGCCTGAATAAAGAGAAACTTCTCTTTAATAAAAGTCCATTTAAAAAAAGCAACCTCCAAATGTTGACGGGACATGTGGACAGGCGTCCACTGGGACGTTTGCGTTGATGTATTTAACGTGGCTTGAAGTGTGTGGTTTTTGTCTGTTGACACCCACCTACTCAGCAGTTCAGCCGTAGACAGATGCTACCTCCTCAGCAGTTCAGCCGTAGACAGATGCTCAGGGCTGAGTAGTATCTGCAGTTACTGCAGTAACGTTCTCTCAGGAACGTCCACGTGCACCAACCACAGACGCAGCAGCTGTGAGCTCAACTGAAATGTCAGGACTTTGAAACGTATTTACTCGTAGCTTTAGCGTGAGCTAATCCATGTAAACACGCCAGTATCGCTGCAAAAACGACACCAAACGCTCTGCAGTGTGAGTCACATGTTAGAACACAACGTTTAAGTCAAAGAATTTCGTCTGGGAATTCTAATTATCAGTCAGAATCCTACTTGTTTTTTTCTGGAGTTTGTTCCAGGGCTTCAGTTTTCATTCCCTTACGTTTAACAAACAGACTTTTATTTTACGTTTATCTCATTTACCACACTACTTTATCGCACTAGTTAACACATTCGATGTGTACTTACGACTTTGTGGAGTTCTTTAATTATCTTGCTTTGCCGTTCAGTGTGTGACACGGTGCTGCCCTGAAGCACTCGTTAGAACACACTCGTCTTCAGCCTGTGATTTTAATGCTTTAAGTGAAACCCCGCTGCTCCACCCGGAGCTTCTCCCCGTGATTGTCATACTCTCCACCGACTGTTGGTGGTGTCGTTGGTGCAAAGCTGTCACTGCTGCACGACCGCGGCGGCCTCCACATTTTCCTTCCCTGCACTGCAGGTGAACAGCTGCAGCGACTGTCATCGACAGGAAGTGCTCATTTATGGAACAGCTGGAGAGGCAGGATCTGCTTACTGCCCCTCCAGAGACTGGAGCCTCCCGTTTAATTCCCCCCTAAATGGTTATCTCTGCTGCTGCAGTGTTCGACACTGGCTGTTGACAGTGGTGGCGGCAGCAGGATGCTAGCGGGGGCTAATTGAAGCCACTCTCATTTTGATACTAATTAGTAAGAAAACTCTGCTGGAAACCTTACAAACTGCTAATGAGGTCGCTGGTGTGAGACGGGAACTGCGCCCCCCACAGTCAAGTCCAAATGTACACTCTACAGTAGGAGTCGTGATGAAGGCAGATGTTACCGGAGAACATCCACACAAACGCACCTCATTCTTTGAGAGAGCCGTTTTATCATGTGTAAAACAGCGCCCCTCTATACGTTATGTGGCCAATGAGTGTTCAAAACATGGTACTGCACTCCGTTGTCTGTGAGCTGGTTTGGTTTCCTCTGAGGTTTTCCCCACACCACTGCTCAAATGAGACTGCGGTGAAACGTAATTACTGTTCAACACTGCCCCCTGCAGGCTACATAGTGTACTATGTATTTTGTAGTGTTGTCCGAATGTTTAGAGGGTGGAAGTTGTCCATTGCAGCATGATGGGATAGCGAGTGTAGCAGCGTTCGTTTTAAACAGCCACTGTGTCAGTCAAGCCACCCCCCCCACCCAGCCACGTCGTAATGTCATTCACAGATGTCGGCAGTAATTCCTGTTCATTCACAGTTTCCTGTCGGAGTTCATTTCCCTCGTTGGTTCCCATGGAGCCGTGGTTTTATTCGTCACGTTCACTATTCCACAAACTGAACAACAGTCAAATGTGACTAAAGGAATAAATATGATTTCCACTGATTTGAACCGGAAACGGAGTGAAAACCTGACCGTTTCCTGTCATTTATTTTCTGATGAATCACCAGGAAAACTGAGGGAAAAAGAAAGAAATCTGAATCAAATCTATAAGAAAAAGAAAAGTGATGATTGGATGGATGCACAGTTGGATGGATGGCGTTCTAACCCACCGACCTTCTGGACAGTTCAGTCTGAGATGTTTTCATCTTTTCCTCATTATTAAGCGAGCTGTGAACCCTTGCGTCTCACCGTGGACTTCAGCTTCACCGACGATCTCCCTGAAGACCACGGTGATGACGGGCTCCGTCATCAGTATCCAGGAAGTCTCCTCTGGTGAAACGGCAGCGATTTGTGTCTGAATAAACTGTTTGCTGTGGAAAAACAAACACAGACGGTTGTGGAACGGTGACGCAGCGAGGAAATAATTCAACAGAACGACAGAAAAAAATGATCGGAAAAATAAACATCAGCGAATGGTGGTGGAGAACATGTTGGGTTCTGTAGTCAACGTTTATTTTTATTTGGGGAGAAGTTTTTTGAGAAGTTCTCAGTCAATGTTTACTTTTTTGGGGAGAAGTTTTTTGAGAAGTTCTGGATGCATGCCACCAGGAGGAAACCTAGGGGGCGACGTGTCACAGGAGTTAAAGTTCAAATCCTGCTCGTGTTGCTGCAGTGATTTGATTTCTGGTTTGATTCCACCTGCTCTGTGGACAAAAACGTGCAGATCACCAGGTGAACTTCAGTGACAATCCTGCAGGTCAAAGGTCAGGACGGCTGCCGGCAGTGAAACGATCATTTCGTACTCTCGTTCATCTGACGTCAATGTTGCTGTTATTCAACAACGTAATAAACAGCAGAGGTGAAGAGGTTTTTTTTTTAATTACATGGATGTAGAGTTATTGTTGTGCTTCTGTTTAAGTTGGCATGACTAAACGTATTAGTGTTTGCAGCCTGCCAAGCTAATCTCACAGCACAATGAAGTGCCTCCCACGGGTGGATGGAGCGTGTGGGCAGCTTTTGACGCGGAACAAAAGGAATAGAAGAGGCACTTAGCCTTCAGACAAACACGGCGAAGCACACACGGACACGCGGAGCCCGTAAACATCTGCACTCACATACCTGGATGCGTACAACGTGTACGACAGGAGGAAAGAAACGATCTCGACTAAATAATCAACAACGAACGTAGGTTTGTTGACTGTGTTGTTAATGTCAAGGTTAGGAGGAAAGAGTTTTATTTTCTATAATATACTGAGGAAGTCAGGAGTGGCAGAGAAGTATGTGTTTTTGGTGCGGACGATAACACAGATATGAGGTGTGCGGTCAGAGTGTCAGATGGGTTCTGAAGAGGGGTGGCGTTGATGAAAATCCTCTCAGCCACTGTTTGAATTGATTAGAATCTTCTGTGTGATTGAAGCTGACGTGTGGCTCCGCCCTCCCCCACCCCCCTCTCGTGCCCCCCCTCCTTCTGGCTTGTTCTACACTCACGGCCGCTCCACGGGGAACATGTTGGTCAGAACTACAGGCTGCTTCACAAATGTTCAGAGCTGAGGATAGAAACAGGGAGAGAAGTGAAGTGAAGTGAGCAGCTGCTGCTGAACGCCCACCAGCGCCGCACAACAAACGGAGAGACGGACGGGCAGAGGAAACACACGCGCACGCACACACCAAATTAAGGAACAAAGATGACCTCTGACCTCCGATGCAGCGCTCACTGTTTAGCTGCAGGCCTGACTGACGTTAGAAATCCAAGACTTTTTTTGTTTCTTCCATGTACGGTACGGTACGGCAGTGGGTTTACATCGGTTAACACGACATGTTTGAGTCTGGGTCGTAGTCTGCTCTCTTCTTCTTTGTTGGCGTTATCGTCGCAGAATTCTGGAGGATGACCCTTTGACCCCAGGTCCCAGTCTGAGGACTGAAATCCACTTCCTCCTAGAAAGGTCATCATTCAAACTGTTGGAAATGACATTTACGCCGTGTGAAAAGTTCGTCGATGAACATGGAAATGACATTCACGCCGTGTGAAAAGTTCGTCGATGAACATTTTCCTCATACACAACTGTTGTCATAGCAACGGATCATTACGTGTATGTATATATACGGTACACCACCAGGGGGTGCTGTCCAAAATGAATAACCAGTGGTGGGGGGGAGTACAACTAGTTTTTCTGACGTTGTGATTGTGTGATGCCCTAGTCATTCGGTGCCCAATCCCAGGTCTGCGGACCGGTGCCGGTCCGTAGGTCATTTGTTATCAGGCCTCAGATGGAACACAGTGAAAAAATGTACTTTAATTTTACTGATTAACTTCAGTCACAGATAATCTGGCAATATTTCAAAATACTAGGTCATTGTGAATGTTAGTGTGAATGGTTGTTGGAGTGGAGAACTGTATGACCAACCGCTGCTATATGTGTGACAAATACACTGTGTGTGTATTTCTATATCTGTGTGTGTGTGTGTGGCCCTGCACTGACTTCCTTCCTGTCGAGGTCACGTCACTGCACACAGTCCAATTATTGGCCTCCTAAAAGTGTCCTAACGACGGCGTGTGTGGGAGAGTGGCGACTGACGGATGACATCACGGCGTCAGCTCCTTCCTCTGCTCCTCGGTGAAACACACCGTGACCGGCTGACAGTCGTCAGACTGGATCAGCGCCACGTGACGAAGAGCTGAGGAAGAGTGGCGTTGAACAACCGACCACAGAGTCTGGCTGTTCGTGATGACACTGAGGAACTGAACTGCGTCTGTGGTGGAAATGTTTGCTGAACATTTCTTTAACAAGCGAAGGAAATAAAAACAGTATACGAC